GCGAGTAGGAGCGACGACGAGCGAGGGTCGTCGCCGTTTGGCCGGGAACAGGCGACCACCCCGCCGTATATCTTCCCTTTGATGCCACGTGCTGGATTTAACGGGCGCCGGGGAAACACGGATGGAGAGGAGAGAACCAAGGGTGGAAAAGGATAAAGATAGAGATAAAGAGAGAGGGAGATTGGTTGCGAGAACTACGTCGGCGCGAGGCGTCGCGACGCCTCGAGGCGTCGCGACGCCTACACCGACGCGCGCAGTGCGCGCCTCTGTGTGTTTCGAAGAGCAGAGGGAAGCTACCTCTCTCGATCTGTGGATCGCGCACGTGGATCGAGAATCAATTCTTTGCGGTTTGAAGAAGACGGTTTTCTTGGTAGTGCAAACCTGTTAACACGAGAAGATAAGTTAACTCGTTATTCGGTTTATTACTGTTTTGGGTTTATTTATTTAGAGATCTTCTGTTTTTATACATGTCGTCCTGTTTCGATTGAGGATTAATAAATTGTATGATAAATACATTCGTGCATTTAAGGAAGGATTTCATACATACAAGGACATTCATTATTTATGATGTATTCAAAAACATATTAATATGTATTACAAACAATGAGTGTATGGAATCCTTTTATAAATATGTCCATTGTCTATATAATATTTATTGTTCATATAGAATTACGTTTGGTTCAAAGAAAAATTAATTCTATGTATACATGCACATATGTATGCGCCAGTATTTTTAAAAGGGTAAAGATTCGATGGTGAGTTGATTATTTAAAAAACTGAGGGAGTCTATAACGAAGAAATCAAAATATTGTATAATTTTCTTATAATTGAATTTATTCCAACATTGGAACTACAAGATAGATACGTTAAGTTTTTATCTAATCTTAAAAATAGAATTAAAGAAGAATCTTCAATAGGATTATATAAGAAATTACAAATATACATGTCCATAAATACACAAAAAGAATTGTACAACCTTTATTGGTGTTGAGAAATTCAGAATCGCACATTACATCTCATTTGAATTAATTTTTTATTTCAAAATAAACGTTTCCCTACAATGAGGAATCCTATATATTATTCGTCGAGTCGATTCCCAATGCTCACTGAAAATTTATGAAATAGCTCGTACTTTACCATATTCACTCGAACAGGAAACCTTTCTTTGCATTATGCATGTATCTATGTTCGAAAACAACATTTTTCCAACCAAACTTACGGCAAACTCTGTGGTACACGTTCGTACACGGAAGTCGATTATTTAATAATATATTAACGTATTTAATACATATAGCATGTCCCCCAACTTAATGTCAAAACTTTGGGAACCTGTAAGGGATCGATAAACTAATTGTAAATAAAGAGAGAAGAAAACAAATTTTCGTTTGCTCATTTATTTATTTACACTTATTTGTTCGTGTTATCGTCTATTTTATGAAGATACTGTTCAAAATGCTCTCTGCAACAATGCAAGCATTACATCTAACATTGATCGTTCTAATTGCAGCTAGATATTACCCTGGAGATATCAGATGCACTACAGCTATGATTCGGTCTCTTGGAATACACAAGTGTAAATAAATAATTAAAAGAACGAAAACGTTTTTGTTTCTTTTTCCGCGACTGTCCCCAGGACGAAGTGAAAAGGTCTTGACATTTAAATTGGGGTCACCCTATATATTATTTCTTCATAAATCAACAAAATATGTATGATTTAATACATTTTAAGTGCTAATTGCACATGTGCAAAGTATTTATGACTAAAATATAAATAAAATGAAGTCGATTGTCGAAAATGAATCGAAAATCCATGCCTACATATTTTCTCAATAAAATTGACCATATAAATTAATAAATTTCATATATTATTTAAATTGATATTACATACTGCAGGTCCCTACTTTAAATTTTTATGATACGTTTTTTCTTAATCGTTAATGAAGATAGATATTACTATTATGAAAGAAATATGACATTCTGTGAAGGCAATTTAAATAAGAAGACAGGGTCAACGAAAATTACTTATATCCATTGTAAATCTTTCACTTTTATTATGTCAAACGAAAAAACAATGTTTCCAACACCATTGAAACAACTTCTAATTATACCCTTACTATCTTCAAAAGTATATACATCTCAAATCGCCATTTCTGAACAATCAAAATGAAAATCAATAGAATTATCGCGATGAAGCGAAAAAGAGTGGTCTTATCATTCGAGAAGATCGTTCAAGGATCTGCTTGATTCGTTCGCCAAATTCAATTCAGATTTGGAAGGCAGATGGTTGTAAGTTACAAGCGTAGCCGGTCTGATTAATTTGAACAATAGTTTCGAGGTACAATAGACCTATATCTAGTGATGACAATGGAAGTTTAAAATGCCCTGACTCTATTAAGGTATAACTGGACCGCGACATAAACTTTGTCCACTTCCCATTGACTAATTGTTTTCGTGACGTTATGGTTTACCGTTGGTGGAAGTTATGGAAATGAACCTAGGCTATGCATCAGATATCCTAGCAATTCGATTTTCTACGTTTTCGAGTTCCCACTGTCCTTGTTCCGTACCGACGACGTACGAGAAGGAATAGGAGAGGAGGATCTGCATTTCCAATGAAGACCGCCCGTCGACACTGCAATTTGGAATCGCGATTTCTAAGCAGAACGGGTTGTTCACTTACTGCACGCCCTTTTTCTGTGAATCCACAAAGAGTTTGACACAACGAAAAGATCTGAAATCCCGATCGTGCCAAGAAAACTGAGGACACTGATCGATGTTGTTATTGAGAAGTTGAAAAAGTAAGGTAACTTCTTCTTTCCTTGTAATTTCTATCGTTTAAACTAATTAAGATATCAAAGATTAACTCTGCTGCATTCTTCACAGCGTTCTGAATTAATCATATTTTTCAGTCGCTAAAAAGTTTCTTAACTTTGAAGAAGATGAAAAGAATCATTAATGACATACTTGATTTCCCGTTTCAACGGTATGATAAATATTTCCTTAAAATATTAAAAGATCTTTTCTTTGTTGAAATGAGAGAGAGACATCGTCTCCTGAGATTTTTCGTGGTTATAGTGGGCGTTCGGCAACAGCTGGTAGAAAATTTATGAGATGGTTCAATAAACCAAAATAAGAGAGAAATGGAGAATAACAGAACTCACGTTTTAGACTTCGTTTTATAGTTACTGACATTCGAAAATCGATGTGTATACGTGTTTATATCTGCGCATGTGTATCTGTGTTCGAATGTAACGCTGCACTTTCCTACCCGCCGAATTAATTAGGTAAAACTCGAGGGAATTCTTTTAGTTGATTCTCGATCAATGGAACCTTTATGCGTCATTAGTAATACTTTCGGAAGTAGCGTTCATGGCACGTTTGGTTATTGGAAATACGATGGACATAAAAAATAAATGAAAAAAACATTATTACAATTGATAAATGAAATTGCTCTGAATGCTAAATATCCAATTCAAAAATAGCTTCTTCTTTAAAATACGAGTGTCGTAAAATTATAATTATTTACAGAACTCATACTTTCGCTTCTTCGAACGATACAATATGTAAATATTAGCTGTTTACTATTTTAGTAACAAAGATTAAAAAATATCGTAGTTCGATGATCGACACACGTATCTACGAAAACTATATCGATACTACTTTGAATTGGTTGAAGAACGATAAATAAAAGATATAAAGATTTACGTGCATACATACACCAATGTTCTTCTCCCTTCCTTGATAACAAAAACCACGTTAAAAACGAAAAAACGACAGTTTTACGGAAAAGCCAATATTATTGTCAGCTGCTTTAATAGATCACTTTACCATTTTCGTTTATATTTGGAAATGTTATTTCAATCGGAAGAAAAGATCATAAGTTTTCGCGGACACTGGAATTAAATTGAAAGAGCTCAACTTTCGACATTTATAGAATCAGTTTTAAATATTACTGAACGAAATTCAAACGGGGAATGAGAAAAAAATTGTTCATAGCTTAACGAAGTACTAGCAGCTTGATCTAGGATGCAGTTATCGCAAAAAGATAGTGCTAGACCGCAAGCAAACATGTTTACAGCCTGCATGTTGGAAATACTTTCTACAACTCGTCTAGAAAATCTTTTGTGGAGGGAAAAATAAACACGAACCACTTGTTCTGTGATATTTTCTTTTTTTGAGAAATTTTAGTTTGATGATATTTAATTTATTGACTACATAATCTCTCTCTAAAGCCACTTATTTTTGTCGTCCTAATTAAGAGTAATATTTCTAACGAATCATTTTTTTATTCATTGCAGTAGTTACTAAAAGATAAAAAATAAAAAATAATATCATACCTTTCATAAAACTTTACTGAATTCTTTCTTGCTACATACATATATATCTCATCCCGATCATGAAATTTCGAAAATGTTTCATCTAATTCGTTTATATATTTTTGTTTCAGCATTATCTCAGAATAAAAATCCTATAAAAAAAATAGCAGAAGTGCTATATTAAAAAAAAAAGGTGAATCAGACTAAGGTCAATTCAGCTATTATTTTATGGAAAAAATAAATACCTGCCGGTCTCTCGTTTGATACCAAAAGAGATCTTCGTCGGATGACACCAAAAGTACACCGATCTCCGTAAAACATTCAAAATCAAATAAATCAATAAGCGATAAAATAAAATGAATTTACGAGACACAAAAGAAATAAAAATAAATTTCTTACGATATAAACCAGCCGCAAACAGTTTTGAAAATGACTGACATTTCAAATACGCAGCAACATGAATAATAGGACGTATTCAAAAATTTCGGAGAATGTCGATATATGCCACGGAATTCCAATTTTATCAGCCACAATCAATGCGTGTGCACAAACATTACATATTGTTTGCTTAATTATTCAACAGCAGCGTAAGCTTGGAATTTAAATAGTTAATTACATTACCCCACAATCGGAAATGAATCATTATATTCCACCAGTAGCTGATTTATTATTCGTTCGTTAGTCATCGTCATAGACGTCGTGTTTGGGCACTGATCTTATTTCTCTGATACTTATATATGTAATTATCTTCCCGGATTAGTGACGACGTTATGATTAACAACCGATGTAACAATCGATGTAATCCATCGATGAAATCCATGTAAAGGCTTCATTATGATGAACGATGTGAAGAAAATAAACCATGACGAAATTTTGCGTGAAAATATACAAAATAGAAGTATTCTCGATGTGTGGAGACTTTCACCGAGACAAATATCACGGCTATGTACAGTATGCTGATTACAAAACCTTCTAATATTGGATTTAGTGCTTTAAGTAATATCGATTTCCTTTTTGTCCTCGTAAAATACGAGAACACTCGATTTTATCAAGTATTTTACTGGAAAATTAGAGTTTATACAATCTCCTTATTGTAAGATATGAAATGTTCCTTTTTTTCTAAAAAAGCCAAAATTTCTTATTATTTTTTCAACGATACAATTTCTTCAAATTTTTCTTAATAGCCGAAAATTTAATTTTCGTTCGAAAATATAAATTTAAAGAAAATTAAAATATAAAATGTTGAATATAATGAAAGTTTATGCTTAGAATCATTTAAGTTTCGTAGCATGAAATTTAAGATTTATGGCTAAATATTGTCGAGTAGTGTATAAAACGTTACGGTTAACCGGTGCCATTTGTTCCAGTCCCAAAGTAATTTTTGTTCGTAAGTAACATAATAAACCTATCTTCAAGTGAATGTTTCAAATGTTATGATATCATTCAAACACTTTTAATTTTCCAATTTAATACTTGCATTGATTTCAGATCAATACTGATTTTATCTTGAGGAGCTAAATAAAAACTTTTATAAGAATTTTGTAAATTTTTTCGAATCTAATTTTTGAAAATATCAATTTACTGTATCTCTTCCTCCTTTAAGGAATTGCTTAATCTTCGATTTCTGTGTTTTCAATTTTCGGAATTTATATCATTTTCCTTTCCGGGTGTTACTTCCTGGCACACATATGTTTGGATTTGTAGAATCAGACCACTTTCACCGTATGATTCAAACACATTTTTATACAAACTTGAATATAATCTGTCACCTCAAATCACGAAATACATATAGTTCTTTTCAAAAAATTTACTTATGACCACGTGCCGGACATACCTCAAAATAGAACCAGACGACATGGCTTTTTTTCATTTCTTTCTATTATAATTCGTGAATCAAGCATGAATAGATTACAAAGATGGAAGCAATCCATTTCTTGCTATCACTCAGTAATAAAATGTTTATATTCAGACATATGTCATAAACCAAAGAATAAAAGTCAAGTCGTTGCTTTTAGTTTTTAAAATTATTATCAATAAAAATTAGGTGAGTAAAATCGAATGGAATCGAATGAAAAACTTCCTCCTCGTTGAAGCATTAGCTACCAGAATCTATAACCTTACAAATCCAACCCCGTACGCTGATCTCAATCATTTTTATCAAAAACATTATACGATAAATTTAGCTTATATTTCAAGGTGGTTGTAGGTGAAAGTAATAATCAAACATCGGTAAACGGTAGTTACACGATAGTAAAAGCGAATTGTTGTTTGCATGTATAAGTAGGCAGAAAGGAGAGAAGAGGGTAAGTAATGGCATAACAGAAAAAGATGCAACGACAACAGAGTTGTCGTCATTATTATTGTATGAATCAACATCACGACGATGTCTTTGATGTGAATATGGTGGTTGAAGAGTGTAACAATGCTTCGAATGTGGATCTTTATAGGTATTTTCGTGCCGGACGCTTGCGCTGGAAGTACGACACGCAGCCAAACAAACTTGGAAACGGTCTAGATTGCGAAGCCGTTTCTTCACTACATCTTGGTCCCTGTGTGCTTTATGATTGTCTCTAAGTAAACCTAATAGCACATCCTTCCTCCCCTTTATTTGCTGTTAATAACAATGCGTCATTAATACTTCTGTTATTCTCTATAATTAAAAAAAAAAAGAAAAAGGAAAAACTAGCCACCTTGCCAGGATGTAGGCAGCAGGAAACACAATATTCATAGATAGCACAGCACCCTTGAGCATTACATGTTTTACAGCTATACCTCTCTTTCTTGGCTATAGTTGATGTATCCTCATTTTTATTAGAATCTTTTTGTTCCACATTACAACAACCATTAGGCAAAATTTCTTGTCTAGAGCATACAATGCCACGCTCATCTACTATTAGAACTTTACCCTATCAGAACGATAAGAAATCAGAATGTCACTTAATTTAACATATTATTTTCATTACTCCAGAATGTAATGTACCTGTATGGAATTACGACAAGGATGAACCATAGTATCGGTGTCATTTAAATTTGACACTGATTCTACATTTAATGGATTCTCGTTTGCCCCTTGATCAACGATTGCCATCTGCCACAGTGGTGGTTTACCAGATGCTCTCAATTGCTCCGATAATGCATCATCATCAGAAATTAAGTCATCGTTATTGTCATTAATTAGCATAGGGTCCATGTCATCAAGATCATTATCCAAAGTAAATGTCTTTTTCTAGAGATCAGATAATATTCTGTTCTAAACTCCAAATTAAAATTCATATGTTTGATCATGCAAACTTTCATATACTTATAATATATATTTCAATACAATTTTCCGATATTGTTTACCTCGTTACGAAAAAGTGAAAAGGCGCAGTAGGTAAGAGACAAAGCAAAGATGAGCCCAAGTACGAGGCGCCGTCTAATGATCCTGAACAGGCTGCCACAACTCGGCATTCTTTCCACTTTTTGCAATTTATTCTCGTATTTTTATTCGACATTAAATTTCCAGTCTTCTATTCCAGCACATGATTGTAACTGATAGCACAAAGTAATTTTATTTAACTATTTCTGTTATAAAATTTTGTGTGATTAAAAATGCTAATCGCATGAAAAATATCAAAGTGTAAATTGATATACAAATTACATTCAGTATGACATGAGTTGATATAAAGAAAGTGTGGAAATTTTTTTTTATTATTATGTTGTTATATTGTAGGTTATGTTGTTTTTGTTATAGTCACATTGCAAACGTTTTGTGAAACGCTTACCCATCTTCAAATGTGAATAGTTATAACATAAACTTTTTATCAGTCAATTGTATAATCAACAGGACAGACCGATATTTCGTTATAAAATTTATTAGGTTCTTGTCACCGAATGTCCAAATAGTGATATAAGAAGTGCATTGGCCTGCTCAATATGGCAGTAAAGTTGGCAGTACTTTATGTTAGATGTCACTGCTTGTTGAATTAACAATTTGATATCGACATATGATATTAAATTCTCAACACGAGAATTGATTGTAATTTCAACAAATAAATAAAAAAAAAAAATATGATATTATGAACTAATTAAATTTCAGTTATACATATATGTATGTACATACATATGTGAAATTTACTATTTTATAAAATAGGTTCATATTGCTAAAAGTTTATGACTAATAAAATTAAGCTTGTGACTTCTTTTGTGTCGCATTACCATTAATCTTCCTAATACATATTTTTTAATTTCGATTATAGAAACTGAATGCATAGTTCTGAAGTTTAATTTTTGATATGAAACAAAAATACGATTTGCGATCATAAAATATTTTTCTGATTTGGGAAATTTAAAAAACATTTGCAATCTTTGAAACAACTGAACTTAGTTATTTTCTATAAATATACATCCCTATAATAAAGTAAAATTAGTAACTAAAAATTATGATATCCTATCTGAGAAATAAAAGGCTATAATAATGCAATTTGGAGTGATACAGTGGGCAATATCATTAACAATTTTATGCGTTATTTTTGTCATTATTATTTTTTTTATTATTCAACTTGGCAAACGAGACCGTAATCTTGAACTCCAGACCTCAACTAAACACTAAAAATCCTGGTGTGTTTGAAACATTTTTTCAACCCATTTCACGTTCAGATATAATTAACAATATTAAAAATTAATCTCTTTTGTTGTTTATGATAAATAAGTATAAAATAATTATTTTTTATTATGAAGTGCTTTTACAAAAATCAACCTCATTTCGAAAACAAACAATTCATCAATTTTTTAATTGTAATCAGTAGCATTATCTATTTTTCAGACCAAATGTTACAGCTGCCACCTAATTGATTAACAACAACTTTATAGAATTAAATGGCAAAGGTATTGCTAATATATTTCAACCATTCAGTTCATTATGTATGAACGATTGTTTGTGCAACTGCAATATCCTATAACAACGCAAGTTAACCAAGTACGTAATAAGAAATTAAATATCAACGGTAATCAATTTTATACGATGTAAGTAATAAGAAAATACGATACAATTGAAGTAACAAGATTTATATCTTTATGTTGGGTTTTGCTACTTTAGAATTTTTTAATTTCAATATTATTTATCTTATACAATTTTATTATCGTTTCGTTATCGATTAAAATTGTCTCATTTAATTATAGATTTCACAAAAACAATTCGGCTTCGGAAGAATCACATATATAAACTTTTTTTTCGTTAGCGTATTTGAGCGTAAATCTAGAAATAATTTATAGTTTCAAGAGCTAGTCCCCACTAATAATGATTCTCTTGAACTCTATTATGTATATACACTTTGTATATTACAGAAGCAGAGCTTATATGATTTACATTTTCACTTTTCTATGGTTATATTTAGTAAATATAATTTATATGCAAATTATCTAACAACATTAATCTCTAATATGTTATCATAAGGTTACTTTCTATTCGGGGAACCATTATCAAACATAACGTTATATATATTGTTCAGAGAATTGGGTGAAAAATTCCTCCAAGTACACTTACTTCCATATAACGTCACAGATTTGCAACATTATATATATTTCGTACAAGCGGCGTTTAAGCGTAATGAAACACAATCCTTAAAGGAAAATACAACTGTAAAACGATAGACCCTATAAATAATCTTAAACAAATGATATAACGTAAAAAAATACACATCCCATTCCTTTGTATTTCAGTGTGGTCGTGGCAAACGTGACAAATTGTGACCAATTAGAGACTAGAAGTCGCTTCAAGTGGTTGGTTATACATCCCCACCAAATCATAAGGGTCCAGGTTCAGGATCTCTTCAGCAGTCAGCGTACACCAACAGCCGGGAAACATCAGGTGGTTGGATAGTACTGCATGCGAGATGCTACAAAAGAAGACATTTCAACTTGATATACCGGATACTGAATACCATAACGCAAATATCAGAATAACACGATTGTGTCCCGGTTGCAACTTAAACAGATTGGAGGAAAGGATCATAGTGTGCTTGAAACATTCGTTGCCGTGGATTCAACGAAAAGCACCGCTGCAAGCATTAGACTTTTGTAGGAGGTGCAGGCAAACATTGTACAAGGTATTATCTTTTAACTGAGAAGTTACAGGTCTAAAAAAGTGTTAGGTATAGTTCTTGTACTTGATTGCTTGATATAAAGAAAGAATTCGAAGTTTCGAATTAATTTTTAATAGTAGTAGAAGAAGCCTATTCTTGAAGATTCATTAAAGATAGAAAGAGTATAAAGTGATATGTACTATATGTTTCTGTGATACGATTTTGTGAAGTTAAATGAGTGAATGATACTGGTAGAATTAGACAAAGTGATAGTTCGTTTGTTTGCAAGAATAGTGCAAATTACATTTGTAATCGTTAATATCTGAGGCATCTGAAATCGTTAGTTGTTTCGTCTTTTTGTTTAATATATTTTTTCATTTATTCAAGAGTGATGTTCATTTATTCGTATTTATGTAAAAGCTGGAACTATTGGATATTATTAATTTACAAGTGAACAATTTTATTCGTATACATTTTCAATATATTATTAGTAATAATAAGCATCATGTAAAAATACGTATTAGAAATTGAATTATGTATTATTTCACAATTAATTGTGAAAAACGAACAAAAAGGAACTGCGAGACTTGGGTATCAGGGTGCTGTTAGCTTTCTGCATTGCTTTCGTTTTATTCGTAAAATAATTAATAATTAAAATATGGTCATAAGAATATCATTATTTCTACATTATATTTAGTGAATTTTATGGAAATTTTATTGGATTCTTTACAATTATTTTATATGAATTTACGTAATTGTATCGTGCAGAAAACTTCTGTTGGTATATATGTATGTACTGTTCATTCAAGGGAAGATGTAAGTTGGTAAACATATAAATTGATCACAGATGTTAGACAAATACTCGAATACTAGGAAGTAGTCAAACGTAGTGTTATTTGGTCTCCTGGTAATTTGCAAAATATTTAATCCTGATATATATACTTTAGTTACTTTATAAGGTTCTTGTTTGGTTTTTCTTCTCTTTTTAACATCATTATTTGAAACTATCAGCTCAGTAAAAATTATTAAAAAAAATTTTTTTTTATTAGTCTATTAATTACTAAGTAAAAACAATCCAAATTCGTAGCTTTAGCATAATGGAAGATATTACTTTTATTATAGGATTCATAGAGTTTTATTGCATTATTATGTACATATTTCTAACTAAAAAGTATTCATATTTCGTTCTTCGCGTTTACTCTGGAGGATATACTGTTACATCAAATTTCTCGGAATTGTTTGTTGCTGAAGAGGAGTAATATGATCCTGCTACTCTTCTAATATGATACAATAACCTTATCCCAAAGAAATTAGAGAAGAAAAAGAATTACGTATATACAAACCAGTTAATTTTTAAATACAAACATATATATTTTTATAAATGTCATAGTATAGTTTTGGGAATTGAAATCATCCTTGGAAAAAATGCAAATAGTCAAGTGATAGTTCGTGAAATATCTTGGAAATGCTACTAAATCAATGCTGTTGATAAAGACCGATCGTTCTTATCATGTGGAGGAATGAAGAGTGAAGAGTTTTCTTTAGTCTAGATTCTCTAGCTAGGGAGTCGTAAAGTATCTTCTGAGGGACAGCAGGGATTATTTTTATTTGAAAACACTTGAAATGACACTTGTTTCAAATAAGTTATTTATTTTAATATGACTGCAGTGCTATATTAGATACAAGTTGATTATATAAACTATATTAGATTTAAACTAATTAAACAAAAATATATTTTTAAAATCGATTAATATTAATATCAACAAGGTTCTCTGAAGGGTTGCAGTTACTTAAAATGCAGGTTTTTCTTTATATAACTTTTCTTACAGACTTGTGTTTGATTAAAGCAATTGTGTACAAGTTTGTTGTGACTAATTTTTTTGGATTCTTTGGGACTTTTTTCGGACTACTGATACTGTCTTTTCGGGGCTGGTATTTAAACAGACCTGCAGGTAGAATGTGGGGAAAATTGTTATGAATGTGAGGACCTTCCTTCATAGTGAGATCAAAGATAAGAGGGGAATAGCTTTTTCCCATCAGGAGGAAAACGTAGAAACTAGAAAAAAATTTAAACATCTTATATGTTGATGGTGAGAAATATGTATTTAGATGTCGTCATTATGACAGTAAGGATTATGTATTTAAGTATTCAACGTGCTACTGATTAAAACTTTTAGGTCTAATTAAAGAATTTATTTTTATCTCTCAAATTTGTACTATGAGTAAAAGTTAATAGAGAATTTTCATCCAATACTTACACCTTTTATAATCAGAAAGAAAGGAATTCTCAATCGCTGATTGAGTCTTTATAACTAGATTGTTAGTATGACGGCGGACATCATAAGTTACCTCGGATATTGATGTAAACGTCACTGTGACGCCGTGAGATGTGTAACGCCCGTGTTATCAAACGTGAAGGGACATAAGCGAGGGTTTTGGTCCGTTATTAGTTTTTCATCTATTCTATCGTATTCTTTTATCAGGCGGAAGGCGGAAGACAAGTCTGTAAGAAAAAGCATCTCGATGTGCGTGGTACGTCTTTCTAGCGCAAGTGGCTAAAGTCGCAACTCTTTAGTCGGTTCGTTCGAACACGTATTAAAACAACTTTGTCAAAAACATTAGCAATAGGTTATGGAACGGATGTGACTTCGCTACTATTTTTAAGTTTTATTTTTTTACACGCATTCTTGTCATATATCGTTAAGTTTCGCTTATGGTCAGGAAAACTTCTGATTTTCGAGGATTTAACGAAAATGTCTGAGTCAAACTTTATATCTTGCTTATCTTTAATCTATTTCCATATTGCAGTCGTCTTTTATATAATTCTAGGATCCACTGTCACCTTTGTCTTTGTGTTATCACATTTTTCAAAATTCGGCGAATTGCCTCCAGTGTTCATCAGCTGTTTTCCTTCAAAATGGAACAATGTAAATTCGGCTTAAGGCACAAGGCCACTTGAGAATCGAGACAACTTTGTAGTATCCGTATATAGCTTAAAAAGAGAAAGCCAGGACACTTGAATATACCATAAATTAAGTCCTCTCCCATACTTCGTCATGGGCTAAAGGAACCTAACGTTTGCGCAACTGCAATTTTGTCTTTCGTTTTTGCTTGCAAGCCAGACACCAAGTGTCTTCTTAATGCCATCTTCTTAAGTCCTCTCAATGCGAGAATTGATTGTGAATTTTAATAAATAAATAAAAAAAAAATCTTAAGTCTGTCGACGATTATAATTTGAGCGAGCGTTTGTTCGGAAGTTTATGGGATGAGCTTAGGTCAAAAGGTAAGAAACTTAAGTGGCTAGCCGTTGCTACTTTTACTAGTTTTTGAAATGGACTTAATAGAATAGACTTTCATGATGGAGTTAAGTATGGAGAATTCTACCGCCATGCTCTTAAAATTTCTTGAAGAGCAAACAAAAGACAGAAAAGCCTTCTATTCCAAATATTTCTTATCTATGCAATGCAGGAGACAATTGCAACTGTGCTGAACATGTAGCACGCAGGGTACGATGATTTATGGGAAACATCTGAGTGTACCGTACCTGAGAATTTTGAAGAAGTTATGTTTTTCATATGATATGAATAAACTCACGATCCATTCCACCATAAAACTTTGCAACATTCATAATATATGGGAAACCAAAAATATCAAAAACGTCGTAACTTTATCGAATAAAAAGTCTGTGTGTTACTTCGCTTCGCGTTTGTCAAGAGTCGTCAGTCTAGTGAAACTGGACTCGCTTACGAACTTGCCGCTAGCAGGTATAAATTCTGTTTGACATTACTTCAAAGTTATTCTTACTCCTTGCGTTGATAGTACATCAAAACTACAGCATTTACACACTTATGTAATATGCTGTCACTCATTCATTCGCGACATATACACACTTATTAATTAGGTTATTATCGGATTTTAGCGCTCTAGGGATCTAATAAGCATATAGCCTGAATTCCTGGATGTTTCTAGAGCGATTGAAAAAGATTCAAAGTTATAATATTATAGTAATTTTTATATTTTTATCTACAATGATGAAACAGGAAACTATGACCATTTAATTAGAGCTATTTCTTAATGTAGTAATGTAATACAACTAAAACAACTAAATTGGTACAATTAATTAACTACTGTGTGACAACTCACAACTCGCAACAATCGACAACCAACAAATCGCAACTAAGTACTCACGACTTGTGACTAACTACCAACTGAGTCCAACTAATTTTTTTCTTTTTTTTTTATTTAATTCTTTACATTCACAATTTGTCCAGTTTGGACATTTGGTAGAATTTTTTAGCTGTTTGATTATCATGTGGGTGGCTACCTCCGGTGGGGTTAGGTTTCTTCGTGTTTGTTAGGTTGTGTCCTTTGTGACGTCTGCTGGGTGTTTCCTTTTCAGAGTCCATCTAATGACTAACTTTCTCTGACAAAACATCCCTTTATCAGAGTTTTTGTATTCCCACCATATACACGTGTTCCGCAGCCGTTTATGACAACAGATGGTCACGTATGCCTTTTCCAAGTAACTATTTTTCTGAAGGACAGTGGACATACCGATGGACCACATGGTCTATTGGAATTTCCCGCCCCTTCTGGCACTTCCACTTTCTACCTGCACTATAGTTCGTCGGGTCTTTCTTAAATGATTTTTCCATGTTATATTATATCTACAATATTATATCTAATATAAAGATAACAGTTTCATATTATTCAAGCATGTAATGTAAAAATATTTTCATAACATTTCGTTTATAGCATCCATTGCCTTTATTACTGTTTTATTTAACAATAGTTCATATATTTATAAGATACCGCATGAAATATGAGAGACGCGAATTCGCGTTTCCGGTTCCCAACCGTTGGTAAATGAAAGACGCGAATTCGCGTCTCCGGCTCCCAAAGCGTTAGTAGCAAAGCCTAAACATTTTACTGAACCTACTAGCATAATTACTCGGAATTGTAAAAATAAATTTTCGAATAATAAAAATGTCATATACAGGGTGGTTGGTAACTGGTGGTACAAACGGAAAGGGGGTGATTCTACGCAAAAAAAGAAGTCGAAAATATAGAATAAAAATTTTTCGTTTGAGGCTTTGTTTTCGAGAAAATCGACTTTGAATTTTCGCTCGGTACGCGTGCACTTTATCACGTCTCGTTATAACGGATCTCACTGTAGATCGTTGTCTCGATGGAAAAATTTAAGAAAAAAAAATTCTTATTCTATATTTTCGACTTCTTTTTTCGCATAGAATCACCCCCTTTTCGCTTGTACCACCAATTACCAACCAGCCTGTATATAGCAAGTATACATCTAAGTATAAATTGTGGAAGAATTGATGCTCATATAATAACAAGAAAAATTACAGTGCGAGTATCCTGGTTATCTATAATAATAACAATTCTAAGTATGCATCTGATATATAGATATATACATTTTGCTATATCAACAATTTTAGATTACCGCATCCGTCTAAGATCAAGCGTGACAAATTATTGGCATTGATCTTACTGCCGTTTTCTGGTAATCACATTATTAATTCAAACTAAAGCATTTTCAATCAATGATTGAAAAAAATAGAAGATTAAACATCAAAAAAGCTCTTTATGGATTCTATTCCTTGAACTTTAAGAATGTATCTGCCTGATGCATACGTAATACACATTCTGCTATGTCAACATATTCCTTAGATTACCGTATCCGTCTCTGTTTACGCGTGACAAACTGTTGGCATTACTCCTGCGTTTTCTAATAATCGCATTATTAATTCAAACTAAAGCATTTTGAATCAATGATTAGGAAAGATAAAAAATTAAACATCAAAGAAATTCTTTATGGATTCTATTCTTTGAACTTTAAATATGTATCTGCCTAATACATACATATATACATTCTGCTATATCAACATTTTTCTTAGATTACCGTATCCGTCTCAGCTTACGCGTGACGAACTGCTGGCATTGCTCTTGCATTTTCTAGTAATCGCATTATTAATTCAAATTAAAGCATTTTCAATCAATGATTAGAAAAGATAAAAAATTAAACATCAAAGGAATTCTTTATGGATTCTATCCCTTGAACTGTTATCCTTATAGGTAACCAGATTACTCGTAGTGCAGTTTATCTTGCTATATTTTGAGCATCAGTTCTTCCACAATTTATACACATTTAATTATATAATATACTAATTAGTATAGTAAAATAATTATTTATATAATTATATGTATAATGTACACGCGATATTTTCATAAATTTATCATTTTTTGCGTCACTTCTAGGTATATACTTTATTTTGACAAAAACGCTCCATTGATCCAACCACAATTATTCTCATTATTATTTCTCGAGGATTGTTTTACGTATGCAACTTTGTTTAGTTATCTATTCGCATATTTATATTCGCATTATCTACTGCTACTGCAATTATGCGATTCGACCAAAGTTCAATGTGCGTTTGTATAGGGGGGCACGAAAGGAAGCTCTTGGTGTAAAACAGATAAAATTTTTGTTTGATTATGATTTCCGTGACGGTGACGTAATATTCCTATATAAATGGGGGTAGAGAGTTCGGAGAATTCAGTATAAATCGTGCTTTTTGACGAGTGATAAGTTTCATAGCAAAAGTATAAAATTGCTTTCGAATCACGATCAGGCTTGCTTTATAATTGTATCGACATTTTCTTTGCGAATAAAAGCCATACGGATTTAATACATCGAAGACTTTATTACAGTAACAAGAATTTATTCTAAAAGAAATGTCATGTTGCGTGCTGGCATTATGAAAATTGTGAACAATATGAATAATAATAATTTAACACGTGCGATATTGTCACTTTTTTATAATAAAAGCCTATTGATAATTCATAAAAAATAATTTTATGATCTTGTATGCGCAGAATGTATGAAGGATATATTTTATAATTAGAAAGAAAGTAGAAACCCTGACATAAACCGACACCACTTGCCAAATTTCATTTTCTCATTAAAAACATAATATTAGTGCGATAAATGTCTTTATGACCAGAGTGTACGCACCTCAAAATCTAAGAAGACGTCTGGTAAAAATATGATTATTATCTTGATGCTTATTTCATGCTCTCAATTATATAGTTAACAAAGGATTTACCAATGTTATAACAGGATTTTATCTAAATAAAATCGACTTCTATCGCCATCTTATTTTCTCTTTTCTCAACTACACGTTTCAAACAAAAGACGATTGGAGGGGAGAGGGTTATAAGGAAAAATCTCCACTAAGCCGTCACAATCGTTGCACAGATATGATGATCGTGAGACAACTTTGATATCCGACTGGCAGATCGTTCGTCTGGAGCAACGTAACACTGTGTTTACCAACTTGTTTCACCTGTCACTAACCAGCTGAACTGCGTATGTCCTATTCGTCCGAAACGTTTAATACACGAAGGAGCAAGAGAGAAAGTATATCATTGGAATGATGTCCGAAAACACACAAACGGGAGCCACGAACTATGACAACCTCGCGTTAAAATGCTGGCTTTACTGCATCGGACCAGTTCGCCGTTGCGAAGAGCTGAAAAAGGTGCGGTTCATACTCACGATCGATCCTTTTGGCAAATTACAAAGATATTTTATACGTTATCCACAATGTCGTATTGTACATGTAAAAAGTGGAACGATCAAAATCACCTGACTAAAAGAAACGAATGTAACGAAAACATGAACGAGAGACGCTCGTCTTCTTTTTTCTTCAAATATTTTTTTGGATATTTAGAAGTAGAAAACAGTTAACGATGTCGAAGGAATATAACCATAAAATACGATGGCGATTGTTTCAGTTGAAAGCGGATCTACAGAATCTCGGATTATCACGTAGACAGGTACATCAAGGCTTGATACAATTAGCGACGAAACCGCGTGTAATCCTTACGCGGCAGATACCATATACAAGATATAGGTAAGTTTGCAATAATTGAGTCGATAATAGGAATAGGATGAATGTTTTGTCCTTTTGATTCTTGTTGAGCAAGTAAGGCTCAATTATTCTGTATATATTGTAAAATAAATTATACCTACATATATTAATATGGTAAGAGGTCTTTTATCAATAATTGTTTGGTATAAGATATAGTAAGTACGCACATGTGCGTTTATTCGATTCGATCAGAGAAAGTGATGTAATTGTAACTTTAATGTAAACAAAACTATAACACAATTATCAGTTGTTTATGTTTCTTTGAATTTTTTATAGATTTTAATAACACAAATGTATAAACCCTATTGTATTTATTATACAAGTTAGTGATTTAATATATATTCATGTAGTATATTGTGATTAGAAAAGATTCGTTATGCTATTACACTTCACATTATATGATGCAAAATAGATCTAAAATAGAAGAATAGAAATAGAATGATTTTTGTGATATTAATTGATTATAAATATTATGTGAGTTGTGTTCTAAATACGCTTCTTTACGTATGCCAACTTTTTTTCCAAATTATTTGCTCTATTAAAGAGTGCAAACATAATTATTTTTAATCATACATATATCTTTTTTATTTAACAATATCGTAATTGAATCAGCGAAACGTTGACCAATATTCATCAACCGAAAATTTTATTATTATATGACAATCAATTATTTTAATACAGACACATAGTTGCTGTTGTGAAAGAATATAAAGGAAAATTTAAATTTTGTCGCATTTTAAATTTCCTCTAATTTAATATTCATTGCAATTCAATATTCACTTGGAAAATAGTCATGTGTCAAATATCGTTTTCGAACTAATTCGAAATCTGGGAACTAATAATTAGTATAAATTGATTACTTAGTCCTAGCATAATGGTATACTTATTAGATACAGTAATACAATAATAAGCAAATGAAATAAAATTTTGAAAATTGTATATATATGGGTACGTAATTTGTGTGCAAATTATATAGCATTCTAATGTGTTAAAAATCCTTGTTCCATTTAAAATATCACAAATTGAAGTGAAGTTTCTCTTACAAACAGTATATGTAGGAGGAATACGCACGACAAACAATATGTCTTAAAAATTTAAGAATATATAATACTGTGCAAACGCTTTGGGTCAGCTACAATCTACAATAGTGGTCTCATAATGACCTCATAATAATCATATTTTTAGAAACAACAATGCAATGTTACATAAAAATGAGTCTTTAGATATTTCTTTTGTAATGTTATTTATTTATAGTTCTTTTTGGTTCATAAATCTTTTAGAAATATTTCCTTAAAAAAATTCTTAAATTAAATGTTACAAGCGTCTGTATGTAAAATGTTACAATTTAAACTAAGCTATGAAAAAGAAGGAAATCAAAGACAGATAAATTAGTTGAAATACCGAAGGAGGAAATTTATTGAAAAAATTATTTGTTAAAATCCTGGAAAAAAAATTAATCGATATTTCATGAGCGAATTCTAGACAATTCTCGAATAAAATATCTCTTAAGAAGTAACAATAGATTTTATATAATATTAAGTACCTTATATTCATTTGTAAAGACAAGTCAATTTATTTAATGGGTGGTCTAAGTTTTTTACACATTATTGTATATGTTAGTATACATGTTCGATTTATGCATATATAGTATATACACATACATATATACATCGCGGTTATGTTTCCCAATTATCATTCAGTAAATAACACATTGTATTGCTGTAGCTTATTAGTTGGTCACTTTGAATATTGGGAGACAAGTGCTATGAATAATTGACGTATGACATTATACAATACCATGACTCACAAAAAGAATAAGGAACCATTTAAATGAAAATAATTGTAAACAACAATTAGGAACAAATAAAAAACATTTACCGGATGACTCGAAGAAATGCGATGTCCCGTTAAAATTTTTGGTTTTAGCTTATTGCGATTATTACTATGTACAATTACTATGTACAACTAATGTTATTTCTATAATAATCAAAGAATTAAATTTTCTAAATCGTAGCTAAGAATTGGTTTACTTCCGATATGTAGTTAGGCCTTCGAAAAAAATGTGAAATTGAAGTTATGAAAACTTGTGGAGCTTAAAACATATAAGAGAAATAAATAATTAAAAACCTGAATTTATTTATTTTCATGGTATTTAATTCGAAAATGATACGTTACAGAAAATTATTTTCGGAACTCTAGAGAAATGCTGTTAATCGTTTAAATTATGTTTTACCATAAATTTTATAAGCGAATAATATTACAGAATATATAAAGTTTCTTAAGTTATTAAATGAAATTGATTTTAGAACAGCTTAATTTTATACATATCGTAAAACATTTTTAGCTTAATTTTGAAGCAGTACTCTCATTTTATTATATTTACGTTTCAGACTTAAAAACTTGTCGGAAGATGAAAGAGGAAAGAATATCATTGATAATCTCAGAACAAATGCTTTAAATTTGCGTTCACGAATTGAAGATATACATAAATCAAACATGACGGAAAGATTTATCAAAGAAGAGAGCAAATATATAAAAAAAGCGGATGGTGTGACAGCACATGAAACTGCATTGATAAGCAGCAATCGAGAATTATTCATACCAAACATAAAAAATCCATTAGCAACAATGCATTCCTTTGATGAAACGCTAAAACGGTTGGATAAAAGTATTTCCCCGAAAATGAGAGTGGATGAAAAATCCACTAATACAAGAAAACTGGAAAATAATGTAGTTTCAAGTAAAAAATGTGATAAAGATGAAAATCATCATTGTATTCGTAAAGATAAAGATACTCAAAAAATCCGAGAAATTCCTAATTTAATATCAGACAAAGTAGGTTCAAACAGAATATTAATGTTTAATAAATATAAAAAAAAACGCATTGAACCTAAATTGAAACCAAAATCTTGTTTTGTCAAGAAGGTAAATGATTCTATAAAATCAGACGATTATAAGAAAGTTTATACTAAAAGCATAAAATTAGATATCAGCAAAAAATTACATAATGATAAGAAGCTTATAGATATGAAAGTGAATTCCGTATCAGACAAAAATATATACTCCAAACATGAGGACAGTACATTAAATTGTAACCATAACACTGAAGAAGTAACAAAAGTGAAAAAAAATACACATAAAAGAAAGCTGCATAAACTAATGGTTTCAGATAGGCATAAAGAAATTGTCCAAAAAAGAAGAAAAATAAAAGATAGATTTCGAACATATTTTGGAGATTGTATAAGTATTAGTGAAGATGAACAAGAGCAAAATATTATAGAAGAAAGATTTAGAAAGACAAGAAAAAAGGATTCTGTTGATTCTTGTGAGTCTGGAGTGTATGTTGCTGAAAAAAATATAACTATGACTGCTGCCTGTGTTGATATAATTCAGAAATCAAATGAAGATACATCTCAAGGGATCATTGCTAATGTTGATGTAAGTCATAAACCAAATGATGATATATCTCAAGGGACCATTACTAATCTTGATATAATTCATAAATTGAATAAGAGTACATTTCAGGAGACTATTGTCAATGTTAACACAAATAATGGATTAAATGAAGATACATCTCAGAGGACCATTGTCAATGTTGATGTAATTCATGAATCAAATGAAGATACATGTCAGGGAATCATTGCCAATGTTGATACAAATCATAAATCAAATGAAGGTACATCTCAGGGTACGATTGCCAATATAATTCAGAAATCAGATGAAGATACATCGCAGGGAACTATTACCAATGTTGATACAATACATGAATCAAATGAAGTTACGGGTAATACAAATAATAAAACTACTAATCAAATTGAAGGAGCAACAAATTTTGTGGAAATTGAATGTAATAAATTACAAAATAATACATATGAAAACAAAACACATAATATTGAAATAGAAAAAAAAGAATTGTCTCGAAATAAGTTCATCAATTTTTCTGAAAAGAATGATATTGAGAAAAGTAAGCATGCATCAAGTGTTACAGATATGTTTCAAATAACTGAGCAATCAAAAGTTAATGTTTCTACAACAAAAATGAAAGCAACAACAGAAATAAATAATATATTACCTTCTGACATTCCGGAAATTTGTATCCCAAGTCATGATACAGTGACTATAAGTAAAGATTTTTCAGGATCTGAAAGAAGTAATTTAGATACAAAAGATTTTAATGATCTTCTTCATATGAGACTTTTTAAAACTTGTCAGATCAGATCAAATGAAAATGTTCAAGAAACTGACATGAATGCAGATATTGGTGAAAGTACAAATTTAAAAAAATTGTCAGAAACACAAATTAATTGTAATCAAAGTACTACAGAAAGAATATTAAACCATACTAAAGAAAATAAAAAAGTACAATTATCTTCTAATACAAATAAAACTGATAATGTTATTTCTACAAACAATATATCTAATGTGAAAAATAATGAGAATGAATTAGCAGTGAAAAATTCTGAATTAAATATCTCAGAAAAGAAAGACATTCAATCCAATAAGTTACCTCAAGGTAAATTAAGAGTTTTATCTAGTGCAGAACTAGGTGCCAGATGGTGTCCCACACCTGTAAACAGTGTTACATCTACTGTTCAATTTTCACATAAAAATACAGAAACTGGAACAGTACCCAAAACAATAGTTTCTATTCCCGCACCTGTATCTGAAACTGCTAGTCGAACAATTCCTGAGAATATGAAGAAATATCATACGGATTTAGAATTTTCAAAATCTTTGTATGTTACTCTTGTAAAGATATATAATTTAATTCAGATTATGCGGAAATTTCCAATTAATAATTCACATTATGATAAATTATTAAATATGGAATTCCAAAACGTAAGAAAAATATTGAATACTGACGATTTTATTGATCTAACAACAGAAGTTGTATCTGTACTTAACAAAACAATGTTAGTAACTCCACCACTATCATTAAACGAATTGTTTTATTATGCACCATCAGTCAAATCCTATTATGTCCTAATTTTAAACAAAAATAAGACTACAATAAATAACCTGAATGAATGTCGAACTGTAAAATCTGTAGGTGTTCCAAACCAAATAACATTGAATCAAAATAGATGTTTTGATACACAAGTATCACAGAATATATGGGCTTCATCTGTACAATCCAGGTTACAATATTTACTTTCTATTTTTTTTGAGCAAGGTCAAACACTTTGCCTCAACATTGTTCCAAACCAACTGCAGCAGAATTTACAAGAGCAAATAGTCTTACCCTTGCAAAATAATGTTCTTCAAAGCAATGTATTGATAAATCCCAATACTGTAAATAATAACAGTTATAATAATAATATGCATCAACACACTTATAGAATGCAAGTGCATGCAAATTTTACTCAACAAAAAGTTTCAAATGTTAATTTTGCTGAGCAGAATCCAGTAACAAATATGCATGCTAGGCAAAGCTATCCCTTGCAATATTCCTTATTTCCACCTACTGGAAGAAATCAATTAGGAGGAGTACATACTTCTGTATCAGTTACAAATGCATCATCTATAAACCAACAATATGTTTCATCTGTTTTTATACCACAATCAAATACATATTGTAATGTAAATGTACCAAATTATACCATACAGCAAAATATGAACTCAACACATATGTCACAGAGAACTCAGTTACAAGGTGTCTCACGATCTGTATCACCAAATCGTAATATACCACAACCTGTACAGCAAAATATGAACTCAACACATATGTCACAGGGAACTCAGTTACAAGGCGTCTCACGATCTGTATCACCAAAGCGTAACATACCACAACCTGTACAGCAAAATATGAACTCAACACGTATGTTCTCACGATCTGTATCACCAAATCGTAATATATCACAACCTGTACAGCAAAATATGAACTCAACACAGATGTCACAGGGGACTCAGTTACAAGGTGTCTCACGATCTGTATCACCAAATCGTAATATATCACAACCTGTACAGCAAAATATGAACTCAACACAGATGTCACAGGGGACTCAGTTACAAGGTGTCTCACGATCTGTATCACCAAAGCGTAACATACCACAACCTGTACAGCAAGATATGAATTCAACACATATGTTACAGGGGACTCAGTTACAAGGTGTCTCACGATCTGTATCACCAAATCGTAATATATCACAACCTGTACAGCAAAATATGAACTCAACACAGATGTCACAGGGGACTCAGTTACAAGGTGTCTCACGATCTGTATCATCAAATCATAACATACCACAACCTGTACAAACTATGGTTGCAACGAATATATCACATTCTGTACCAAAAAATTCACAACACATTGAACAGAAACATAAAAAAATAATTCCTCAAAAAAGGATACCAATGGAAGTTCTACAAAATCGTACATCTGAAGAAGTAGCATCATCTCAACAATTAAAGAAAAGTACACTCAGACGATTAAAGAAGAAAGAAAATCTGCAAGTTTCATTAGAATCAACAACAAACCTATTCGATATATTGAAATATATCTCTGATATCCAAAAACTTATATTATTGAAACAATTAGACTACTACTTTGGTTGTACCACTTGGTTACAACAACAGTTTACTTCAGAAAAATGGCAAGAAATTCATTCAGAGAGATCTGTATTACTTTATTTCCAAACACTCCTAAAACATTTAGTAGAAAAAACAATAAAAAACCTTTCACCAGATAACTATCAAACAAATATACTTAAAAATATTGAAATTGATGTTCCAAAAGTGATACAAATTACAGTAAAAGAAAACAATGGAATATGCTGTCAAGTTGAAGCATCTAAAAGTAACCAAGAACAGTATAATGCAATGAATATTAAACAAAATTGCACAAATTATGAAGAAAATTCAAATGTTACAATAACACAAAACCAATGTGAAAAAGAACATGAAGCAACTGATAATTCACAGACAAATAGTTCTTCGATTAAACAGAATTTACAAAATCATCAAGCATCAGACGTTGATGTGTGTCAAGAGAATAAAGTGGAAAGGGAACCAAACAGCTCTAGGAATATACATAATTCAAATACCAAAGAACAGAATTTAGATGAGTCAAAAAAAATAACTGAAAATATTTCTCAAGTAGTCAAAGAAAAGTTATCAGCACTATCAAATATGAAATTGCTTGACACCCTGCTGCAGTTAAATCCTCATCTAGTTACTGTAGAAATTTCTTCTAAGAATGATCAAGTAACTGTTGTTGATACTAGTGCTAATAGTGAAAATACACCAAAATCCGAAGAACCTGAAGAATATCAAGAACATCAACACTTAAAAGGTACTATTACTGATGACTTAACAGTATCTTCATTCAAATCTCCAAATAACATTGAGTATTTTAATAATAAGGAATCACACAACACTTCGTTGGAGAGATCTCCCACAACTTATATTAAGGATGTTAGAAGTATATCAATGGAAACATATTTAAAAATTGGTGTAACTAATAATGTTCTTGCAAATACTATGGAAGAAAATATTGAAGAGGAAGAAATTAAAATATGTTTATATTGTGGCAAACCTAGTACTGTAGCATGTATAATTTGTTTAGAAGCTAAATATTGTTCTAAAGAATGTTCTCAATTACATTGGAGAGATCATTATAAAGATTGCTCACCTGTAGAAAGAAGTATATCTTCATAATTGAAACTTAGTATTATTTTTTATCTTATTGTCACAAGAACCTACAGCTGCACAGCTATAGTTTCGTGTTAATCAGTATTGATGTCTTTGGTTAGAATATAAGGATATTAATATAGATTTTCTTTATTAATGTTATAAATTATTATTTTTGACAAAAAATGAAGAGATGGCTGTTGTATTTAAATATAAAAAATAAACTTCTCAAATAATGGTTGAATTGTTTTTAGCATATAATTATAGATATATGTGAATTTTGATCAAGTAAATATATATACACTTCACTAAATTCAAATTTATTTTTTTATGTTTTCAGCAATACAGATTAAACACATACAAACTATATATTAATTCTATTAAATAGCTACTCTTCTTCATAACCAATACCAGGTACATAATTCTTTTTCGCATTATGAAAGAGTGAATGTTTTCCATCCTTCCATGGGAAACCCTACACAAAGACAAAAATAATTAAATCTTGCGGCAGTATTTAGTACTTTTGCAACTATTTTAGTATTTTTAATTATTTTTTTCTTCCTATTTAAATCTTACCTTATTCATTACTTTCATATATGGATAGTGAATGAACTCTGGAGCTGGTTCATGACTTTCTTCAAGAATTTTGATATAGCAATTAACCATAGCAACTCCCAATAAAGGGACACCCACAAAATAGGTGATAAACTTAAATATTTTAACAGTATCTAAAATCAAGTGGAACGACAAATTATACTTATGTAACCACAAATTTCTAACTTTTAATAGAATTACAAATTTTCACATTAATGCTAAAACAAGATATCGATAAGGAGTATTCTTTATTTCAGATTTTGTAATAAAATACGCTTTGATAAAGCAGAAAGTTTAAAGAATTAGAAATCTTTCATTTTCACATTTTTCCGTGTCATTAAAAATCTTCTAAATGGAATTTTTCATAATTTACCGTTGGAAACAGGATGTTGACGTTCTTCCACTGTTTTTACATATTCTGCCATACCCCGTGTGAAAGTACGGCCAAATTGGCCTACCCTTAGTATTTTCGACATTTTGCGAGGAAGAGGAGAAGAACGCAAGGGAGAAGTACAGATACTGATTTTATTCAATTACATCACTACATGTACACACGTCTCAATTCTCAATATAATTATTTTATTTCTCTACAGATGTCGCTTAATGTTTCTCCAGAAATAAAGTCAACATTACTCGTCGCTGATAAGTCAGTCATCTACCATGCAGTATCCTCGTCTCTGGTAGTATGTAACTATGTATATACTATTCAGCTATTATAAAAATTTTTAGAAAATTTAGAAGTTTCAACTCTGCTTTCCAGGTTGACTACAATCAATAAGTATGTAATCTAAATAATTAAGATAAATGAAAAAGCAGAAAAATTATAAGAGAGAAAGATTGATCAAAATAGTAATAAATTCCATTGAAAGTTTTATGTAAGTTTACTTTTTACAATAGAGTGAAAAATCAATCGTTTTCATTTCTCTACGAAGAGCACATAGATATTATTGTTAACATTTTATAAATATTAAATTACTTTTGTAACGTATTTTTATAATTAGGATATTAAAGTTATACATTATTTTCAAATAATGAAAGATAAATTTTTACATTAGTGTGTATATGTGTGTGTACATGCTAGTTTATATGGGAAAAATATATATTTACAAGAAAATAAATCCATTTTGTACGTCATTTGTATAACGATAAGTCACGTGATTTTTTATCCGTTATTTTAATTTCTGATAATTCAAATCGTATGCAGTACTCTATACAATATCTGTTTCATCTCTCCTCTTTTCGATTGAAATAGAAAAATTATTTTATTATCAGAGTATGTTTATAAAGTAATTTAACAGTAATAATACTTAAATGGCATGGTTTAGTAATATTACTTACATACATATATTTAAAATTATTCACTTCAATTATACTTTGGATAAAATGCATAGTCCTCGGACATCTTAAAATGATTAATACATATTTTACTAATTCAATGTATGAATAGTTATATATAATAGCTAAAATATTAATTATGATTTGTTTTTGGTGTAGTATCAATCCTTGAAATGAAAAATATACATACATATGTACATGTGTTACATACAGCAATACACATACAGATGCATAATAATTTTTATAATAATGGTTTTATAATAAATTTTATTATTAATGATAAAACTATATTAATTTAACTAAATATCAAACTTATTCTGTTCTAAAAATAAATATACATATGACACGTTTTATAACGCATTTAAGATAAATAAATGAACGTGAAAGAAATGATTATTTATTATACTTATTCAATGGATAAAGCAAGATGTTGAATAAAGATTAATATTTTTCAGTTCGAATGGGTAATTCTATCACAAAAAATAATTATCACAATAATCAGAAGTATACTAGTCAGGTATATATCATTTAAAATTCTAAATAAAACATAGGTTATAAATTATAACCTATATAATAGTAGATAATGTCATTAATAAGATCAACTACTTATATATAATTGTATCTCAATTGATAAAGATTAATAAATACTATTATAATATTTTTTATGCAGTATAGCCTTAGTGATATAATTGGTGGAAGTTGCATTGGATCAACGCAATCTTCGCAGAAAGAAACTAAATCATGGTCTCGTGCTTCTTGCAGAAGGTAATCGTAATAGTTTATAATTTTTATGCATTTAATAATCCGTATGTAATAAGTATTTGATTTTATAGCTGGAGCGAAGGTACATTATATGATCCATTGGGTACTTCGAAAACATTGTGGCCTGTATCACGTTGTCAGGCTATGTTTCTTCCAGAATTTCAAATAAGACAAGTATCTCTGCAAAATGCTTATATATTTTTAAGCATAATAGCCAAAGGAGCTTATGGAAAAGTATATAAAATTCAGAAACAGGATACTGGAGAATTTTTTGCTTTAAAAGTAATCAGTAAAGCTAAAGTGGTTGCAGAAAATGGTATAATGCAGGCTAAACAGGAAGTATGTATGCTTTTAAAATTGAAGGCATTTTTATTTTCATTTTGTATTGTAATTGAATTCATACATATATTCAATGTTAGGTATCAATACAAAAATTGGTTGGTCATCATCCATTTATATTAGATTGCTCTCACAGGTGGCAAGGAAGGAAAACATTGTACATATGTAAGCTTATTGTAATTATGTTATTATTAGTTATTGTTAGATATGTTTCTTAATGTGCATTAATTCCAGTAACTAACTATGTTGGTGGAGGAGAGTTATTTTCATTAGTCGAGCAATGTGGTTCTCTGCCTGAAAATATAGTTAGAATATATGTAGCAGAAGTTGCTTTAGCTATTGGTAAATATACATCGTTTTGAATTGATAATTCAATATGAGATAGAATTTATATGTTTTTTTGTTATTGTGTGTTAAAGATTTTTTGCACAATGCTGGTGTTGTACATAGAGATATAAAAGCTACAAATGTTCTATTGGATGAGGAAGGTCATGCTATAATTATTGATTTTGGTCTTGCAAAGTGGTTAAATCATACAGAAAGAACACATACGCTTTGTGGAACTCCAGAATATATGGGCAAGTACAAAAATGTATATAAAATATAAAAATTATATAAAGTATAACTATTTTTCACTTGATGTATCTTGTTATAGCACCAGAAATATTCAGTAGACAGTATTATGGACAAGAGGTAGATTGGTGGTCATTGGGAGTACTAGCTTGTTTCATGCTTACAAATCAGGTATGTATGATATATATATATTTTCTTTTTTCTCTTAAAGTAATTTTAAATATGACATGAAATGTACTATCAACATACTAATATTGGAATTACAATCATTTCAATACAAGAAGTAGAAGATAAAACTTGAAGTATAGTAGAAAAAATATATTTTTAAATATAAATTGATTCATTTATTAAAATCAAAGCGATAGTTCTTAATATGCTACTCTATTTTATATATTCTTATGTTTAATAATGTTAGTATCTATATGTTATAACTATCTTAAAAGGTAGTGCAGTCCGTGGACTCCGTGGCGCAACGGTAGCGCGTCTGACTCCAGATCAGAAGGTTGCGTGTTCAAATCACGTCGGGGTCAAAGTTTATTTTTATAATTTCTTTTTTACATTTTTTAAATATTTAACACGCGGAATATGAAGTAAATTTTATAGGTTCATTTTTAGTTGAATAAAGATTATATTTATTGTTATTATTTATCATTTTATGAAGTCGGCAAATTTCTTTCTATGCACAATATATGGTAGAAGACTAGTTATACAATTTTTATGAATTTTTATATTTTATATATATATAGCAAAGCTGAATAAATGATCAATTTTCTTTTGGTAATTGGTAGACGTTTTTTCACTTTTTAAAAATAATAAATGATTTTTTCTATATTATTTTATCCTAATATGCTTAAAAGGCGTATATAGATTACTATTAACTGAGAATATACAATTAATATTACAGGGAGTTTTCTATAATATATTTGCTGTTTTAACATTTAAACTAATTCCTAAGAGTTTGTATCTAAGCAATGTTTAATATTTGAATAAGTATTTTTTTTAGTGACAATATTAATGAGTGATTAATATTGTTAATGATAATAAAAAAAGGACTGAATTACCGTAGAATTTGTTTAGGATCAAAAAGTAATTCGCCCCCGGGTGGGCTCGAACCACCAACCTTTCGGTTAACAGCCGAACGCGCTAGCCGATTGCGCCACGGAGGCAGTTGAATGGCAAGTTCTTTTCAAGTCTTTTGTTGCCGTTTCCTATCTTTTCAATGTTAATTTTGTTTTATGCTTTTATTTTGTAATTTATTATTTACAATATTTCTTCTATCTTAATGACATATTTTATATAAGAACTACTTTTAATTCGTTGCATGTTGTAAGATTTTATGATAGATTGAATCTTATGATATGATCTTATGATCGCGGTTCATAAAAAGAAATATTTGTGCTCGTATTTAATATATTTATTATTATATATACTTATACTCATCATTAAACGTTAATACAGTCTTTTTATTTCTTTTTGAATTGGATACTTCGTTATATATTCAGAATTATTTATTTAAGATTAGTTATTAAATAATTTACAAAATATGCATGTTGTTGAGTAGGTCTTTTCTAGAATATTGTGTTAGTATCAGTAACAGTATTAATATATATAATATAATAATAATTAAATTGAATTTTAAAACAATATGTGATTTTGATATGAAACATCGATGACTTTAATGGTTCGTCATTACTATGATAAAATCAAAATCATTGTCATTCATCAAATTAAATAATCTATAAGCGTGATTACACGAAATCAAACATTAACTGCAACATCTACAAAATAACATATGGAATGTTATTGGAACGGTTGTTTAAATATAATAATTAAACACCGTCATGAAACCACCGGTATGCAAATATTTATGCAAATTGATATTCTTATGGGTATTATTAAAAAAATGAAACCTGAATAGGAATTTGTTTCATCTAGTAAATCTTCTAACGAGTGTTTTGAATATTTCACATATCTTTGCACTTTATATATATATTTTTGCATTTCCAAATTCTCAATAAATGCATAAAAGTCCGCAGTCAAATTGTCATATGTGTACATTTCAATTGTTATACGTTTCGTATTATATCGAGGAACACATAGACGTCGTGGAACTAAGTTCCAAGTAGAGACGTAATTATTTTCCCGTGAACCGTGTCTTGTACACTTTTCGTCGGCCGTTCTTGCGTAAAAGCATGCAACGGGCACTCGAATTGAAGAAATCCAACGAGCGTATCTCTCTGGCTCGTTGCAAAATCCTTCGGTGCCTTGACATTTTCGCCGGGTCCACTCACCTCGCGTATCCTCTGTTTACAAAGCGTGTTCTCGGGCACGTTAACTTTTCATACGGCCTTTTGATGAATCGACGTATGTGCCACGTCATGTCATGAAGAAATGTCGTCGTACCTGGCGCGATCACGATATCATCGTTAACCATGAGATTCACGCGAATCTTTGACTCTTGTGCAAGTGCAATCTCGATAGAAAACGATTCATCGTCACTTAGACTTTTTTTTCAGGAACCAGCCATAATATGTAAATTACGACAAAAGTGTAAACACATATTTTACTTTAGAAGATCTTGTTTTATCAATTACTCGATTTAACATTTTAAGATTATTTACTGCTTTGATTTGAGATTTCAAGATTATATCCTGATCAATGATTTAGTTTGAAATTTTAAGATTATATTTTGATCAATGATTTTATCAAAGATTTTTATTTTTTCCATTTCTATTTGATATCTGTGACTGAATATTCAAAGAAACAGGTTTGAAGTTATGAATTTTGTAATCTTGTCTTATCGATGATAAATAATGACACGAATCGAATGAATTGGATCGACTATCCTCTTACAAATGTTAGTCCTGATGCATTCGGATCCTTCGTTCCTACTTTTGTTTTTCTAATAAATGACAAGGAAGGATTTTTTAAATTCAAAGATAACTAGATGCATGCAAAAAGGGAACATTGTCAACAACACGTTGTCCACAGTAATAATAATAATTATTATTATAACGATGATAGCAATAATACAAATAATAATATTAATAATAGCGATACTGGTACTAAATCGTAATAATAATAATAATATTAATAATAATAATGACACGTATCTCTAAAAAAAAAGAAGACAGAGTCGAGCTACATACTAGTTTTATTGGGATGAGGTTGTGGTTGTGGTTCGTGTGTGGTTTTTTGAGAGGAAAAAAATAAAGAGGAGTCTTGGGGTTGGGGGATTTGGGGTGAGGATACTAAAATATTAGGGGCCGGTTTCGTCCCCGCGGACAGATCGCGGTGTCCGCCGGGACGAAGAAAAGGATGATCCCTGGCGTGTGCCAAGTCAGATCCCTAAGGGTGACCACGTGTTCCTGATAGGTGATTCTTCTTGTGTCTATTTCTTCTTTGAACACTCGATCGAGTCTTCGTTATATCCATCATCGTCGTCTTCATCATCGTTGTTCTCATGAATGTTATTCCGATGTGTCCTAAGTTAAAAATCCCCCACAGCCAGGCCGCCACGTGATCATCCTGCCCCGAGTCGATGAATTTTTTCTCTCGGAATCGTAGCGCGCCGGGGGAAGTTTTGGTCCCTGCCACAGAATTGATCGCGCAATCTCTCTCTCCCATTCACACCGATATACACTCTCACTCCGTCTCGTTCTCTCTCTCCCGTTCCCGTTCATACTTCCTCTGACGTACACGCTCTCTCCCGCTCGTTTTGCTTTATCTGGGCCGAAAAACTCGCGCATCCTTCTTCATCTTCTTATTCATCATTTTTTTTTTGTGAGTTTTTTCCTTGTTTCTTCTTTTTCAAAATGTTTTATCCCATTTTTATCTGGTCGATGGTGATGAACGCAAAATGGTCTGGACGAGTGGCGAGCCAGTATCCGCGCTTCGTTCGATGTTATTTGATTTCTTCGGGGCTGTTGTTCTTCGTCTTCCCGCCTCTCGCTGCGACCGCTATTTCAATCGTTCACTTATACTGTCAGTTCTTGCGGTTTAGGCAGCAATTCCGGCTTGGACTCTTCAGCTGGTTTGGATTCTTGTTTGGAGGAGGACTCCTCGGAGGATTTCTCTTCCTCGCTGCCCTTGCTTTCCTTCTTCTCAGCCGATTTTTCTTCAGAAGATTCGTCTGATTTCGCTTCTTTCGCTTCTTTCGCGGGTTCCTGCTGTTTCTGTGGTTCTTCCTTCTTTTCCTCGGCTTGTTCAGATTTTGCTTGAGGCTGAGCTTCCGCGGTTTCGCGTTTAGCCTGGCTAGATTCGGCTGATTTGGCCGCCGATTGTTCCACAGATTCTTGAGCGTTACTGGAAGCAGATGCTGCAGCAGATACTTCGGCGCTCTTTGCTTCCTTTTCAGGTTGAGCAGCGGCTTCAGCAGGCTTCTCCTCGGTCTTGGCCGAATCTTCGGGGCTGATTGCAGGTTGTTCGATCGCAGGTTGTTCAAGAGGAAGCTGAATCTTCTCGTTCTTGGCAGCTGGTTTGTTCTCTTCTGGGGATTTAGCTTGATCTTGTTGGCTCTTTTCAGCTTCAACAGCTGGCTGTTCTATTTTCTTCTCTTCTGGAGCAGCTACCTCGGCGTCGCGGGTCACACGGTCGGGTTTATCCTCAGCCTTCTTTTCCTGTTCCTCTTGTGGCTTCTCGAGCTTCTTCTCCTCCGCAGCTGGCTGAGCCTTTTCTTCCGATTCGGAAGCTGCCGAGCTAGCCTCATCGTCTTTTCGCACGCTTGGTTTCGCTTCCTCAGCTTTCTTTTCTTCCTTTGCTTCTTCTTTAGCAGCTTCTCCGCTTTTCTCCGCTGAATCTACTTGCTCGGAGCTTTTGCCCTCTGGGACTACAGCCTTCTGTAATATAAACACGATCCAGTTAAGAAAACCAAATTCTATCGTCTACAACAGCAAAGAAACTCGAATATCGTAATGTATATCATAGTATAATTCAAACTTACAACAACGGGTTGCTCTACTAGAACATCAGCACTATCCTGTTTATTTTTTTGCGGAACAACTTGCACTACAGTTTCGTGAGATTCGGAAGCCGCCTGCTTCAGACCTTCTTCCTCCTTCTTGGCTTCTAGAGCCTGTTCAGGCTTTTGTTCTTGCTCAGGTTGTTGAGCCTCCTGTGGTTGTTGTTGCGGCTGCAGTTGCTCAGGTTTCTTTTCCTGGCTAGCTTCCTCCTTTTTCTCCTCGGGTTTCGCTTGCTGAGCTTCCTCTTTCTTCTCCTCAGCCTTTTCAGATAGTTGAGCGTTTTCACCCGCGGGTTCGCTCCTCACGCTTGGCTTCTCAGCTTCGGCAGGTTTCGCTTCGGCAGGCGCTGGTTCAGCGGCCTCCACGTTTGGTGCTGCAACGGCTTCAGGAGCTACTGGAATCCCTGAGTTGCTTGGGTTCGCCGATTTTTCCAGAGGAACTACTTGTAGAGGTTCCTGATTTTCAGCTACGGGCATCGAGAGCACCGTTTTCTGGCCGAGCAGGCACAGTATCGTTATTACGAGTAACTTCGTCATTTTGATATCTGTAAATGAAAACGGAGCTTTTGGTAACTCGTTCTTTTTCGATTTCTATATTAATATTAGGACTATCAGAGTGATGGAAATATCCGATTTATAATTTTGCATATAATTTTTTAAAGAATTGGAACGATTTTTTCTTTGCACTAGGTTTTCAATTGTTTGGGGGTCAATTTCTTTGATACAAACTTCGTTTATATAATTATATATTTCGATATAATGCTTTTATATATCTTCTATTTTGATCTTTTTTGGTACAAACTGTGTTTTATACAATTGGTTTGGTACATCATTTTTATATATCTTTTATTTAGAATAGATGACTAGTTTAGTTTAGTTTAGTTCTATTTTTTTAATGAATTACAAATATCAAGCTTAATAATCATCTTATTAATTCGAAGGACTATTCGACGGAATATGTAAAGTCACGACTATCAGATACTATCAGTAAATGAAAGAAAATCAAAGATAACATTGTACCCTAATGCATAAATCTCATCGTAAACGATCATTTAATCTCGACCAACCGGATGTAGAACCCGAACTAAAGTTATCACGGATCGGAAACACCGTAAAGATTCAGAAATAATGTCATGTCGGACAGAAAGGTTCTACTATGTATGGAGCGTAGAGAGAGGAAACGAGGGACGTTTCTCGCAATCTTCCAGTTAGGAGAGCGGACGTGAGTACACGAGCTCCTCTTTCGTACTTGGCATGAATGGAGAACGCGGCCGCATGAATGGACCGCCGATAGACGCGCGAGACGAAAAGCAGGCTGCGCGTCAGAATGTGACATACAGAGAGAGAGAGAGAGGGGGGGGGGAGAAGGAAAGAATGAAAATTGAAAGATGGACAAGGGGCTGCTAGAGGAATCGGCAGGAGGGAGAGGGACGTAGGTGACATTGAACCGAATGCATTGAACAAGACGAGCGTTATGGAACTAATGACAGGATGCGTGTCCCTCGCGTTCGTTACGCGCGCACATTCGCGCGTTTTCTCCGCATGATCGCGTCTTCTTCTTCGTTCTACGCTTTGTTCTTCGCGTTTCTTCACGAATGAACGCGTGTCGTACTCGCGTGTTCTTCAACGAATGTTAGGAATAGATGGAAGGGTGCTCAGAGCATCTGAGATTTCATTGGACAATTATTTGTTCCAATAGAGAAACTTTGAATATTTTGGTTACTTGAAGATTTTCAGTGAGAAGGCTTCGAATTAATTATTTGAATGTTTTTAATAATAGAAGCTTTGAGTTGATTATTCGAAGATCTTCAATATGGGAATTGACTTCGAGATGGATAAATAGATAAATAATAATTGAGAAATTATTTGTTAATTGCCGTGAAATAAAAGGAGAACGAAAGAGAATGAACGTTGTTGCGTGCATCGCGAACGGAAAGTGAAACATGGGTGTAACTTCCGCAATAGGTGGAAACGGAAGGCGAGAGAGGACATTGTTTGGTTGGATGGAAATCGAGTCGTTGCAACGATCAAGATACGCCTCGAAAAAAAGCAGAACATTGTTCATCTGTCGTATCGCGAACCATGAAAGCACTAAAAGTATGTATATACATTCCCAACCATAAGTTCTAACTATTTTATTATAAATCTGTTATTTATAGGCTGTATCTGTATGTACACGTTGTTATTATACGAGCTTATGACCAGTAGTGTGCCTATATAAACCTACATGCGTATAATCGAACTCGCTTAAGTCTAATTATAAAACGTCGACCACTATCAGGAAGCTCATCGTCGTGTAAATCGATTCCGCTGCGCACATCGGTATCGTATGGTCGTTACGAAGCCTTTGACGAGCATCGAGGTACATAAGTAGATACGGCAGAGTGGGCAGACACGAAACCAGAGACTATCGTCGCGGTGTCGCGTGGACACGATTTGCTTCGCGAGTGCAGTTTGCGATCAAGCGAAACGCAAAACGCTGACGAAACTAAACGCAAAACGCTAAGGAAATTAAACGCGCGCATATACAAGCGTTAAACTGGTCCGCGAGCTATGTAACGGAATAAAAAAGAAGGAAAAATCAAGCACGATGGCATTCTTTCGATTCCACACCAGTGTAGAGCGACCTTCCGTTCAGGAGGCTCGAGCTTGCGTCCAATCAAGCGGGTAATTTATACAGAGAGGAAGCTGTTCCCGTTGCATGTACAGCCAGAAATGCTCGAGCGCGAACGTTCCATCGTAAAAATTGAAACTGCTGCAACAATGGCAGCGAACAAGTCCGAGGGAACGGTTCTATGTCCATATTTGTAAAACGACGATGCTCGAGGATCGCTTTTAAGAAGAGACGAGAAACTGTTCGTTCACGAAGAGAAAAAGCGGTTGCCGCGTTATCTGAAACACAGACACGCCTTCTGGAGAACGCAACCAACGTGGAATGCGCGCTGAGAAGGTGAACGCAAAAGTCAGAGAGGGAAAACGGGAGGATAAAGGGGGAAAAACTGGGCGACAGCCGCGACCTGGGCGAGGAAAGAGGCGGCTGAACGGTCCAGTTTTTACGATACTAGCGCGCCACTTCGCTCTTGGCGTTCGCCAATTGGTCAACACGCAGGAGGTGAACCGTTCCGTTCTGTTATTACGCTCGTGCTCAACTTTAATTTTGGTACAAGCGATTGCTATCAACCGAGAACTTCGTTCCCGATAAACTTCAATTTTATGCTCTTCCTTCTTTCTAGAATTTTCGTCATAAGATTCAATTTGAAAAATCGTTCTTATACACACATGTAGGTTTCATAGAGCGAACAAAGATGGAGTATTCTCCATGTAGGAAAGAGGTGAACGTTCAGAGGCGGCTCGTTGAAGACGAGAAGCGAAATTAAGGGGCAAGTATACATTAGCGAGTCGCATAATCGACATTAATAACAATCGTCCAGGCCTGATCATGTTGCAAGCGGACGTAATGGGCCGCAATAAAGTTAATTGCAAATTACTTTGCGAGTCACGGACGTGGAGGTAACGTTTGCACGCGTATATAGGTGTATACATATACATATATATATATATATGTATATATATTTTGAACGTACGCGCTAATTGCAATTCGGTCAGATTGTCATTTGATAGGGTAGTACAGGAGAGAGGAAGATGAAAAAGAAGTGGAAGATAGGAAGGGGAGGATCTGAAGTGCCGCAAGAAAATTAAAGTCACGATCTCGCGAGGGATGCAAACACGACGGAGGGATAGGTCGACGGAGAGGAAATGCCTGTGAAAGATGATGGACACCCATTACCTTATCAAGATCATCAGAGATGTAATAATGGTACGACGCTTACAAAGAAGACGGGGTCCATTGAAGTGGTTCACCGCTTCAATGCTTTCTGCTCCTTCTCTCTCTTTCTCTGAGCTCGACTCTATTCTGCGCAACACGGCATTTATTATATCGGCTCTATCCTTTTCGCGATTGTCGATCTAATCTGCGCACATTGAATCTCAACTGGACGGAGAATGCGTCGCAGTACTCGCAGTTAACGCGATCGCGCAGGAATGCCGGTTGTTGCCTCTAATCGGCTCTGAAAGAGGGGTTCCGCTGCCATTTCTCGACGTTGTTTCAATTACCATTTTAAACACTCTTTCGTTCTAATTTTATTCGTATGAGAATCACGGTAGGAAAATTATGCTGTTTCGAAGGAGAATACCGGAGACTTTTTTTTAAAGTACCGGATACTAAGAAAATGTTTAAATTGAACGCTGTTTCGAGGAAGAATACTATTTAATTTGTTTGAAAGTAGCCAAAAAACCGAGTATGGATGTTTATAGTATTTTAAATCTTCTAGATTTAAAGTATGGAATGCTATTTCTACGTTTCGTGAATTTAAGTGATATAATAATTCTTCCAATTGATAGCATCGGAAATATTCACAATTTTGAAGAGTGTCAACGATATCAGAGTTTCTCTGAATTTCTAGCAGCACAAGATGGAGAACTCTTTTCAACTTCTAGATTTTTCAAATAAAGAGCACGAAACTATGATTCTCTAAGTAAAAACACGAAACTACGATTTTTTGAATAAAAATCACGAAACTACGAGCGTCCACGGGATAAAATAGTAATTTTTGTATAACCCGTTTAAAAGAAAACCGTCAAATAAATTACATAAACGTTACCACGATACCAGAAACTCGACACTTTCTACCTTTTAACGTTTGTGAAAACAAAATCTACTATATATACGTATAATTTTCGAACATTTCCATACATTTAATCGTCGAATTTATGCGTACATAAATTCGTTCTATTACGAACGAGAGTTAAAAGTGGAAATACAGGGAATAGATCGTAAAAAATACGAGCGATAGACGGTTCTGAGAGAAGATTCCTGGCAAATTAGAGGATCCTCGGTTGGCTTGTTCGCGCCTTGTGTGTCACAGCCTTGCTGACGTGCAGATTAAGTAGATTAGCGACGGGTTAATTAGCCACGGGGAAATCTTCGCGGGTCTATGGAGCAGAGAGGACGGAAAAAGGGTACGGTTGCGAGAGGAGGACAAAAATTACGCAAACGCGCGGTCATACGTTGCGAAATATACGCAAATTGTATGTTCCGACGATTATTCCATTTAGCGTTTCCCTCGCTTTAATCATTGGGTTCGAAGACAGCCATTTCGCGAGACGCGATGGAGCTCTACCTGCGTACCGTGGTCGCTGATATTCTGATCCTTCTAGACACGTTTAAATACCATGAAAAATCTTACAATTCTTCGTTTCTCGTAGCAACGAAATTTCTATCGAGAGTTTAAAATTTTTGTTTATTCGTAGATGAAAAAAAAGAAGAATACACGCGCGATGACATCTGGCTAACCCCGAAAAATGGAATTTTAATTTTGTAATTCTATAAAATTCGAAGAAAGCAGCGTAGAAAAATTACAGCAGGCTGTCAACGATAGAGATAGGAACAACCGTGGATTCGATAAAATGATATGTTCTACTCACGTCTTTTTCTCTCCTCCGTGGAACTGGTCACAGCGGTGGCTGGTCGTCGACTTGTGTCCGGTAGACTCTTCCTAGATGCTTCTTCTCCGCTTCAGTCGCGGGGGAATTACTCTCACCGATTAAACTGTCGCTCGGGAAGAGACCGGTTCAAGAAGTAAAACTCTCGCCGATGTTATATGTGTTGCACGTTGGTTGTTGCGCGGAGCAGTGAAAACTCCGTGCTGAACAAGAGCAAAAGACAAAAGAGAGTCGGAAGAGATACCCGAGAAGTAAGTTACCCTCTTCTCTCTCTTTTTTTTTCGCGCGCGTGCGATTACGCTCGTTCGCTCGAGGAAACCGTTTGGTGATATCGGGATGAAGGTTGGGTCGTGTGTCGAGATGGAATCGTCGGGGCCCCGCTTATATACCCATTTACCCACCAGCGGCACCACAGCCAGGATCGTATAGGGGGGCCCGACCCTCTTCACCCGGCATCGTACCAGGGGCCCCTCCTTTACTCTTCTCTTCTCTTCCTTCTTCCGTCGTTCTTCTTTTCTCCACCTCTGTACACCTTCCCCTTCACCCTTTCCCTACCCTCCCGCCATCTATAGTTAACAGCTATCTTTCTTCGCACCATTCAGCCGTGATTCCTACCGGTCGTGTTTTCCTTCTTCCATACCCTGAGCCACGATCACCACGGGACGTGTGTGCCGCGCCGATTCCTCTCTACAACGACCCACGCCGTCTACGAGCAGGAGCAAAACGAACCGGGGGCTGCGATTCTCGCGAGAGATTTTCAAGTATCGAATCGGTTAGGTGGTTCGCGATGCGATGACTCTTCGACCCGCGGATGACACGTACCGAGATATCCAACCTGTGCACCCGTTCTTCTTCTTGTTCTTGGAATTGCTCTTGGCTCTAGGGTACATCTTGTCAACGACAGACTTTTGGATATTCGACTTCATTCATCTTGGACAGCCCTTTGCTTTGGACTGATGAAACTTCGATGCTGATTTCGAGATCATCGATGGACGATAATACAGATAAACTTGGAGAATGCAACGATGATGTTGAAGGATTTTCGGTGGAATATCTTGTTTAGGGTCGAGGCAGCGGATAGAAGTTCGTCGCTGAAGAGGTTCAATTGGTTGGTTTGGACGGTGATCGGTTAATCCGAAAAGAAGGTTCGAGGAACATCCAGACAAGGCTGTATATACGTGTGCTGTTGCTCGAAGTCGGCGAGTGGGCGAAACGTGTTAACTCGTCTTTTGTGAGATACGTTCGCGGAGTGAACGTTCGTTGTACCTTTGTCGGATCACGCCGCGTCGTTTCGTCGCGAGGTCGTTGATGTTCGATGGGTTTCGTTCGAGTATATTGGTTTATTCTTCGAGAGTTTGTTTCATGCCAAGAGTTTCCTTAAATATTAGTCAGTTTGGACACAAGAGTTATTTAAAGACCATCATTGTTTTTGAGAAGACAATTGTTTACTTTGTTTCATCATTTTCTCCAAGTTAATTCAGTTTTCCTACACTCTTTGTAGTTATTGTATAAAAAAATATGAACATTTTTTGGCTCTATTTTTATTGATCGATATTCATCGACATCGAGAAGGAATATCCGCGTATTTCCTGCACTTCTACGTTAAAGTACCATATCAAAATTTTAGATTTTAAAATAATCTAGTATTCCTAATGTCATTACATTTTTCAGTTTTCCTCAATTACATACTTAGAACAGGACGTAAATTGTGATCCTCGAATTTTCTTACGATTAATCTTCTCTCTCCTTCTTCTTCTTCTTCTTCCATTATAAAAGTGATCAATCTTTATCGATGCGTCTATGCAAAACATCGAATCTCGTTGATCTCTCGTTGACATTCGACCCGGTGTTTCATGACACACCTGCGTGTTTAGCACGGTTCATTTTTTCCATTGTGCAAGCAGGACGATGTTTTAAAAGCAGTCCGTTCAGCATGATTCAGTATCGAGCGGAAGTGCAGCGGTAGCGCGGTGCGAGCTGTTGATAAACGTGAAAAGGACCTTGATGTTTGACCGCGATGAGTGAGGCGATAGAAATATTAGGACACGTTGATTAGCTCGTAGAACGACGATCTTTTTGGCCTCCCTGATCGTTCGTGTTCCACCATATTTCATGCAAATGAAAGCAATTTTCTTTTTAAATAATTTTGTTGAACCTGGCAATGAGCATAAGCTTGCCCGCAGAACTCCGTTTTATTATCAAACCTGACATTATTATGCAAGAAAATTCAGTATCGGTAACCCGAAACTTGCGACTTGTACAATTTCATTAATAACATTGATTCGATTATGCAAGAGAATCTCCTGATGAACATTTTCTTTCGAATTAATCGCTAATATGAAATTCATATTATATAAATTAATGGCTGCACCAGGATCAGATGTACATAAATTATAATTAATACATTCATTAATATGTTTTTGGAATAAACTTTTGTAACCACAACTCAGGATATAACGTAATGCTTCTCCTTTTTCTTAATTATCCACCAACCGCAAGTGTCTATCAATAACGCGATATTTCTTCTAAAGTGAAACGCAGCGCTCAATTAAGATTTCGAATTTCTTTCGCTAGGAATTTTTGAATTTTAAATTTCTTAGCTGGTGGCTTTTGAATCTACATTTAAATTTAATTAATCAACGAGGTTTCGATTCCCGATAGAAAGTCGGAGACGTGCAATCTTTCATCGACGTTATAAATCGTAAAAACGGTAAAGAGCAGCAAGGAACGTCAGTGTGTGTCAAAATGAGTAATGTTTCGCTTTTCGGACATGGCAAAAATGAGATCTTTTGTACTACTTGTCATGCTTACGAGCCTTTCAGGATTATTCTGTTCGTTACATAAAGTACCTCTTTCTTATTGTACTTATTATCTTTAGAAGAAGAATTATCGTTGACTCAACGTCTTAACACCTAAGGGCACATTTCGTTGCTTAAATCCACGAAATTTCGACCAAACGAGTTCAACGTGTTTTTCTCTCGTTCACCAACGAGGATGCTCATCTCTCAATGAGTGCAAACGAATCGTCTCGCACGTGTCCAACATATTCAATTACTCGAAAGACGCGCCTTTCGTGGAGCTTGTTCGCAGAACGGAAGTACGCACAGAATTTGTAACAGACCTTAACTAATTCTAATTTGGTCAGACTGGCGTCAAGTTTATGAACGGTCCTAAAAATACGACTTTCATATCGCAACCATTATTGTATGATTTTAGAATCGATTTTATGACAGCTAAATTTCCACGTTGCACTAAAAAAAATCCATTGGTTATCATTTTTACTATTTATTTTTATTGTATAGCCGCTCAACAACGATGAATTACGATGTTCCTGAACTTTGAATTCGTAAAGAATCGTATGTTTTACAGATTTTATAAGGAGACCTGATTAATTTCGGTATAATCGCGCTTCTATTTCGAGAGAAATTATTATAAGTTGTACCGAAAACAGATGTTTTTAGAAACCTGTTTTTAGTAGACAACTGCAACGAACTGTGATAAGTTTGCAAAATTGTACATCGAGTTTGGTAAGATCAAGCATTAAACTTTACATCAGTTATGTATCAGAATATCAAGGTGAAATTGTGTGAATAAATGTGACGAATATGATGTTTGGTTGGTAGTTTTATTTTCAACTGATCGTGCTGTTCACTTTCGCAATTCTAAAATCGTTTCGCAATTTTAGTACTGTTGGGATCAATAGGTAAGATTAAGTAGAAGTGTTTAGAATTTAAGATAGCTTCGAGATATATATAAAAGATTTTCTGTGATATTATCTAATGAGTCATTACAGAGATGTATCAGTGTGGGAATTCGTGAAATGTTACAAACATTTTTATTAGAATACCCATTGTGTCGTTCCTTGCAATAATTTGTCTGGTATTTTTGCATCGTCCATTCGTTGAAAAGTTTGTTGTTGCACAAGTTTGCAACTGATTGCACACGAAAAATAATTTCTCTTATCACGATTGCGAGGAACATGAGTTTTGAAGCATATTTTTGAGTGGAGTAAATGACGATTAAGCCATGAATTTGTATATTTCTTCAAATTTATAGGAAGGATTTTCTTACAGTCTAATTCTTTCACGATGAACACTTGTCCCAACGACAGAAATCTTCTGTTCCAATCATTACAGTGACTCATATGAAACTCGTTGTAATTAAATACAGTAGAACCTTCGTTATTTAAATACCATCTACGCGTTCTGTTTTTCGAATAATCCAACAGCATATTTTCTTATCAATAAGGATCGCGTTTCTTTACTATCTATTTACTCTTTACTGTATATTACTAGACTATTTTCTCCTATTTCTTTTCCGAATAATTTTTCTCTCAATTCTGTTATGTTTATCATCAAAGTATTTCTTAACATTCAGACAAAGACAAAAAAAATTCTTATTAATATCCTAATTTCTTGATTCAATTTTTTACCAAACTACTTTTTAAACATTCAAAACTTCCTACTTGTTAAGACGAAATGAAGTTCAAGACATAACAATTTAAAAACCTTAACATGATTAACTCAATGGCTAAACGAAAAGTTCCAATATGTCAATATATCAATATATCAAACCAACCATTAACCAAACAGCCTTCAAAAGTTCGATCTGTGTATCAGTGCTACAAATCATCTCTTACAGCAATCTCCACTAGACTATTTGTCCCACCCATAGAATATTTATCCTAACTATGTTGATCGGTACTAATCGACATCGGATTAACGTCAACGCAAATCGTTTTTCGTAACGTTCGATCCGGCCGTGATTCATCGAGCCTGTTTCCTCCTCTCCTATCTTTCTTCTCTTTCTCTGTTTGCCTCGCATGTAGACACGCGTGCGTGGCCACCGCATTATGTAAACGTCGCGGGATACGTGTGAGATGCGTGCAAAAGACGGACGAGGCCGCGGCGCCGTGCCGCGACGAACCTCGCGATTTTCCATCGCGAAACGATTGGATTCGCGGGGCCGAGCGGACAATGTTGCCAAACGGGCCGACGGAGTCCGACGCGACGCATCTCGACGCTCTCGGACCGGTTCTCTTCAGGGCGAAGGTCGTCGGCTGATGTGAGGTCGTCGATACCGAACGCTTGGTGCTCGCCGGATTTTTGCTTCGAACGTTGCGCGTGGCACGCCTGATGGATAACCAGGACAGCAATTTTGGGAAGTGGGTCGCTAAATGATGTACACTATGCAAATTTATGTTTAGCTTCGTTTTTTTCTTGGTCTCGTTTTTTTACTTTGTTTCTCATATATAGTTCTTTAACTTTGGTACGATTGGATGCTAGAGTGTTTGGGTTCCGACAGGGTAATGGGGTTTATTATGTTTTTCAGATTTTTTTTCTTCTTTCAGATACTTTTATTTTTGTATGGTTGGT